GTTACAATTAAATGAAATACTTAACTTCTAAGGCAGAAATATTATAATTCGATTATTCGGCTATTTTTATATAGTAAAGTATAAAGGCTGAAAATGGTTATAAAACAATTCCTATATAAAGCTGAAATTTATCTATATAATATTAACACAAAATCAACGATGAAAATTATGAAATAAAAGAACCTACGAGACAATTACTTTTCAACTCTTTACAAGATAACATCATTATTTATTTAGAATAATATTAATGTATTTATCATAGTAATTGCATAAAAACAAATAACATTTATTTAATTTAATTATACAGTAAATGTTTATTTATTGCATCTTAAAATCAATATTATTTTTTAAATTTATAAAAATGAAAGGTACGTATTTTAAAAGATTTTTTAATTATAAAAATTTGATTGGAGTCAATTATAAAATACTTGCATTTGAAGCATGCGCAATGAACACTGAATTTATTGGGTCTTGTACATGCATACCATTTGAATAGGATATTCTATGGAGTATTTTATCATTAATAATGGTAATGCATTAGTTTTTGAAGAAATTAATTTTCATTATTTTTTATTTAAATAATAATTATTTTTATTAATAATGTTATGAAATATATCATACAATAAATTTTAAATAAATAATAGGGTTTTAATAGTGCTCTTACCTTTACATAAATACATAAATATAATTATATATAATAAATATATATATATAAATATAATTCACGTCTTTAAATATATACGTATAGAGTATATTAATTATATTTTTATTCACAGGAAACGTAAAATTTATTCATAATTTAAGTTATTTTATTAAAAATAATATTTGCCGAATTAAGTTTATTTATTGTTTAATTAAACTAAATTAAATTGAAATTATATTATTAAAACATATTCGTTAGTTTTATGTATTTACTTATATTTTTTATTTATATTGTAAGTATATTTGTGGTCTATACTATAGTTCTACAAATATAAAAAAAATAAAAATTGAGAAATAATGTAATAGCCTCATGTATTTCATTTCATTTTTTTTAATACGCTTAAATACTCAAATCGTTAATTAGATTACAGATTTAATGAATAATTTGTAACTTGCAAATGTACTCATTTTGGCATGTACAATCAAATACAGTTATTGGTTCTAAATGATATGCCCAATATAAAAATATGCTTAAAATATTCATTAACGCTCTATTTTCAGCATGCAGAATTTATTATATATACAAACACATGAACAGTAAAACTGTTATATGTTTATACAAGAGTGTAGTTTCTTCTACCAGATAATTTTAGTAATAAAATTTTATCATATATTATTTATAATCTAGTAGTGTAGATTATAATATAATTTCGTGTAAAATCCATGTATTTGTAGTAGTAAATTTGTAGTAAAAATTATAATTATATATTAAAATTACAGTTATTAATAAACTTATTGTTTGTCATATTAATATCTTTTGGCTCTCAAAATTTAGAATTTATTTGAATTTCTGATACACATTCAAGACTCTTATAAATGATTAAACTATACTGATATTTATTGATATTATATTTTATTAAATTATTTTAATTGATAATAATATAAGTTAATAATTTAATTTTGTACATTTTATGGGTCTATTTATTACATACAATATATTATTAATACAGATGGTGGGATCTTTATTTACGTTTGTTTAGATAGAATTTCAAACTCCTGGTTCTTCTGATATAATAATATTTATTTCTTATATTACAGTATCTAATTCTATTAGAACTTGCTAATTCTCATTCGATATCTGTTATAAATAAAAATTAGCACATTACACACTTTTTGCGTTCATTTCTACTTTTTTTTATAATAATCAAATTTATTATATATCCAGAAGAAATTTATGACTTTAATATATTGCTTAACAGAAGATTAATTACTAAATCAAATACTTAAAAGACATTAATAAATATCTAAATAATGATTACTAATTGTATAAAAATATTATTGATTAATTATTAATAGGATAAAAATTATGGTATATATATAAATAATAAAATATTTACCATGACTTTGTAGGCACAATATTTACATAAAATAGAAATATAACACTTGACGATATTTAACAAGTACTTGACGAAAACGATATGCTTTTACTTTTGATGTATCGTACAGCCGAAATATACATTGTACCATTAAACTTATTGATTATATTGAAAAGTATAAGATAGTAATTTTGATGGATTAATACAGGATAGATTATGAGAAAACAGGTATTTAAAAATAACTTCTACTCGTTTGATTTCGAATTAATAAAAAATTAGTAATATTTGTAGTATAGTTCATCATTTAATTTGGTAAAATATAAATCGAAATATGCGTACCAGATTTTTCTTTCCGATATTCTATCATTCTTTCTTCGAGTAGGATATACATCTGCATATCACTAACTACACAATAGTAAATTTTATATTATTATTCTATAAAAAATTATATAAATTTACAGTAATCATTAATCAATACATATCAAAATACCTGTAATATATAATTATACACCTATTTATACATTTCGATTTTAATAATGTACATTATTAGGAGAAGCATTTATTGTAAACTTTTAGTGGGCATCCAATAACAATACATCAGTTATCAGTGAAAGTATATAGTATGACTATATCTTAACATATTAGAAATTTTAATTAATCGCTAAATATTTATATTTAAATAACTATAATATTTTAAGTATAATTAATGTCATACTTAATCGAGTTAGATTATTATTGCGCATCTTGCACAGATGCAACGTTTTGTAGTTTGTATTCCTGCTCTTTTACGTGTACTGTTCTATGAATAATAATTCATTTAAGTTATGTTTACTATATAATTTTTCACTGCAAACAAAATAGCTTTTGTATAGATATATCTGCTTGTAATTTGTAATCAATTAATAGAATTGTAACAAATTATATTGTTTAGTCAACATATTTTTTATTTTTCAATTATAAGTAACATTGATTTGAAAAATATTAGTGATTGCATTAAGATTTTTTAATTTATATTAAAGGGTTGGTGGGGTAAAGAATAGTATTAAAATTGTTTAATTCAGTAAATAACAATCTAACAATCATAATTTTTATTATTTAAAACTTATGAACTTGGTTACTGAATCAGAAGTAAATTGTAAGAAAATCGACTTTCTAATACACATTTATTTATTACAAAGGTATGAAAATTAATAAAATATATTTAATTTATAGTTTTTTTCTAGCAAAAAACTGTGTATACATAATTTTCTAAATTTCCATAAATATAATGTTACCGTATTAAAAATCTAGCTTTATTTTTTATTATTTAATCTATTAATATTTTTTCTAATTAAATTAATAAAACGGAATAATAATATTGACTTCAATTTCAAAAAGTGTATTAACATTCATATTTTAATATCTACATGCATAATTCAATTTATATATATTTGTTTGTATGGCTGTGTATGTATAATTAATAGTTTTTTTTTTTTGTATGTCATGGCTTGTTTTAATCCTTAGTAAATATGAGAATCTATTATGTGTATATAATATAGAAATATGGTTATATATATATATATATATATATATATATATATATATATATAGCAATTTATTAAGTAATTTTATATCTTTATTTTATTTAATTACTTTTATTATTTATAATTTCTATTTTACTTTGCATAATTGTATTGTATAATTTAGATCTTTTTGAATCAAGGTATAATAATTATTATTAATATACAACATTTATTTGATTTGAGCATTACAAAAATGTTTAAAAGGTTATAAAAGAATATATAAATAATGATGTTAAAATTATTTATATAACAATATTTAAAACATTGTATATTTAAATTAAACATTAAATTTATTATTTACAGTTTTAAAATTTATGTAAATTATTTTAAACTTTATAGTTTATTAAAAAAGAAGTTAATTACATAGTGTTTTAATTCTTTATAATTAATAAATATAATATTTATAAAAGAAAATTATATAAAAAGTTATTGAAAATCTATATTGATTTTATTTAAATATAAATTAAGTACTTTAAAATTACTTTTATAATAATACTAAATACAATAATTTATTAATCAATCTAAATAGATAAAATAAAAAAAATTTTCTAATACTGTAAGTATATTTTTATTCAACTGAATTATGTATATTTATTTTAACTAAATTCATATTTGTATTGAAAAGTATAAACCTATAAAATACCTGTTTATGGTTTCGATGCATAAACAGGGAAAAGAAAGAAGTGATATATTTTAAAAAATATTGTATATTTTCAGTTTTGAGACGAACTGTAAGTAGTAAGTTTTAAATTTTAATTTCATTTTAACAGTAATTCAAATATTTAATAATTTTTATTTCATTAATTAAAATGCCATACATATGGTATTTTGTATTTAAACTAGATGTTATAAAATATTGTTGCTTTTATTTATCTGAACAAGTTATAATATAAAAGTTATAAAAAAAATAAGATATGCACACAATGTAAATAATATAATGTAACGACAAGTTTTTATATTTTGTTAATTAAGTTCATCATATACTTGTTTATTCATATATATGTTAAAATAAATTGTTATACAACATTTAAAACTTTCTTTAAGTTACTGATGATTATTTTTCAACTATGTTGAAGCTATAATAAATACATATTCATTATTTATGCAAACGTATAAAAAATAAAAATTTTATTGTTATACAAAATATTACTTGAAAGTTAAATAATGAATACAGTCAAGATGAAATTTTTATACTCAAATTTAAATAGATCCACTTACACTGTTGTATATCACAAATTATGTTTAGCATTATTTAAAATTATATTAATTGATACTTTTTTAAATAATACTAATGGTATTTATTTATAAAATTTGATGTTTAAGTCATTAAGAAAATTTTGAATCTGAGAATATTATATTTTTATATTTTGCTATATTAATTCATAATTGAATATTCCGTTTATTAAATTTTTTTCAGTCATTTAAGAAAAAAAAATTATAATAGATATTAGGACAATTACGAACAACAATACTACTAATGTGTAATATGATACATTCACAATTAAAATCTTTGTTAGAGAAGTATCATCAAGAACACTTATTACAATTTTGGAATGAACTTTCTGAAAATGAAAAAGAATATTTATTCAATGATATTATGAATTTAAATATTTCTGAAATGATTTCTCAATTTAACAAAGCTACTGCATTTAACAATAATAAAAAACATTTACTTGATAATAAAATTAAACCTATTCCTACAAATGTTATGGAATCCATTCAAAATTTATTAATGGATAATGTTCTATTGTATGAAAAACTTGGCTTACAAGAAATTGCTGATGGTAAAGTTGCAGTAATTTTACTAGCAGGTGGTCAAGGTACCCGCCTTGGCGTTGATTTTCCTAAGGGAATGTATAATATTTGTTTACCATCTAATCGAACATTATTTGAAATACAAGCATTACGAATTAGAAGTCTACAAAATTTAGCCAAAGATAAATTTGGAAAAAGCAAAGATATAACTTGGTAAGCAATATTAATTATCAATAAAAGATTTGGATAATTGTAAATATGTATTAAATCTAGGTACATAATGACTAGTGATGCAACTCATGAACTTACTGTAGCCTATTTTGAAAGTAATAAATATTTTGGACTAAATAAGAATAATATTATAGCTTTTAAACAAAATACAATGCCATGTTTTACACTTGATGGAAAAATTATTCTTGATGAAAAATATCGTATATCAAGAGCTCCAGATGGCAATGGTGGTCTTTACATAGCTTTAAAAAAAGAAGGAATATTAATTGATATGAAAAAACGTGGAATAAATAGTGTGCATGTTTATTCTGTTGATAACGTTTTAGTAAAAGTAGCTGATCCAATGTTTTTAGGATTTTGCATCTCTCGTGAAGCAGATTGTGGAGTGAAAGCAGTAATAAAGAGATCAGTAGATGAACCAGTAGGGATTATTTGTCAGGTATGAATTTTTAAAAATTTGTTTAACAAAATTGTATTTAATATACAAAAATATTATACATATGAGTATATATATATATATACATATTTGAATTATTTTATTTCTTTACAAAATTAGAATGTATTATCGTCTTATGTAATAATATATTAGATTAATTTTAAGTTTTCTAGGACTATTATATAAAAATGAAGTATTTGTAGTGCAAATATAAAAATAAACTCTACTTTGTGTATGAAACTAATATTTCAATTCAATCAATATTTCTAGCAAACATTTCATCAAATTATTTTTTTTGCATGAGAAAACATCTACATTATATTTGTTGCCATGTGCTTAAAAAAGTTGAAAATAAGATAGAAATACATATAACACACATTCAATAATCTTAATTGGTTATTATCTGTAAACGCGATGCATTTGGATTCGTTTTATAGACGTGTACATAGAGAATTACTAAATATTTTTTATTTTTACATAAATTTTGTATAAAAAATATGTATAAAATTTACAAATACAAGATTAAAATATTTTTTTTATTTTCGTTTCGTTTAACCCTTTAATTCCACTTAAATATAATAATAGTATTTAAATATAAATGTACTGAAATAAAAGTTGGAAGGTGAGCTAATAACTAAAAAATTATCACGGCGACTTAAAAGGAGAGGAATGGAGAAATTAACGCTTGTCGACTAGCCAATATAATAAATGGACGTTATTAAAGAAATAATAATGTTAGAATAACAGGTGTAACCGATTTTGTGTCCATCAAAGTAGAAGATGCACAGAGACCTTTGTTGTTAAATTAAGATAAAACATAAGCCCAACATTTATAATAGAGCATTGATAACTAATGTTCATGATTAAAAACTCCATTGAAATAATATTGATAAGCGCGAAACTAAAATGAATTATTTTAATTTGATAGAGGTAATTATGAATATGAAAATGTAAATATACAAAAGATTCATTATAATTAAAAATAAGAATGTACAGAAAGTTGAGATTTTACAAGGTTACCTTATTATATTGGAGTTGTGTAATTTCATGTGTACTGTTCATATCCGTACTAAATACTTTATTGTAATTCACCAATTTTAATTATTAGATTAATAATTGAATAATGAAATTGCATCATTAAACAACATATATTAAAGTTCTGACAGCTCATAAAAATTGTTTTTAATGACTTAAAATTCATATTTAATATTTTCCCAATCAATTTAGTAATTAAATTTATAATATTCATAATTAACATTTGAATAATTAACTAAAACTCTAGAAATGTAAAATATGAATAAATTAAAATTTTATTTAATACTACAAACAAATTTATAGAGCGTTTCATTTTTTTCTACTCAATATTTATAATACTCTAATATTATGTTTTAATAAATTTACTATATAATTTTGATATTATTATGACTTTAGTTTACAATCTAGAATTTCATTGAAATTATATCGAAGGAATGTTTTTAATTTATATAAATTTTATCATTGCAGTACAATTTTTTTGTCTGATTTAATATAGAAGATCATTGAAGGACCTATGCTTGCAAAATATGTCGTTATTTATATTCAAATAACTTGTAAAATTTATGTAGTTATGTATGTGTCATTGAGTTTTAAATAAAAGAATAGAAAAAAATTAATAAATTTCGAAATTTTAAATACAAAATAATTGAGTACAAGAACTTTGCACATATTTGCTTTTAATTTGTTTTTATACATTTTGTATTGTTTCAGATTGATGGATTGTATACAGTGGCGGAATATAGTGAAATTTCAACTGATACAGCAAAACTAAGAGATAATAAAGGCAATTTAATTTTTAGATCAGGAAATATATGTAATCATTATTTTACTCTCGCGTTTCTTAATAATATCTCAGAAAATTATGAAAAAAATTTAGATTTACATATAGCTAACAAAAAAATACCATTTATTGATAAAAATGGTGAAAAAAGTAAACCAAATATTCCTAATGGAGTAAAAATTGAAAAATTTGTATTCGACGTCTTTAAATACTCTACAAAGTTTGTAGTGTGGGAAGTATCAAGAGAAGATGAATTTAGTGCTTTGAAGAATTCCAATATTATGAAAATTGATTGTCCTTTAACAACACGAAATGATCTTTTACGTCTTCACAAAAAATGGCTTTTAAATTCAGGAGCCACTAGAGTTGAAGGTGATGTTGAAATATGTCCTTTAATATCATATGGTGGTGAGAATTTAATAGAAATAGTAAAAAATACATCTTTTGAAGGTCCTATGTGTTTGAAAATGCCTTAAATCGTTTATATATTACAATTTATATATAATCTTATTATTTTATATAACATTGAGAATATTATTTAAAAACAAAAAATTTGTTACAAGTTTGTAAAATTATTTTCTCGATATCAATTATAATTAGTAACAGCTTTACAATCATTAATGATTTGTTTAGTGATGACAATTTTTTATCAATAAATGAATATATTTTTTAATATTATTTAACTTCTTATTTTTATAAGCTGTATACATAATACAGTTTTAATTCTTTAGGTGATACATTTACTAAATAAATAAGGAAAACATTTTCAAAAGAAAATACATGACTTAAAGTTGCCATTTTCTCATTGAGTATATTTTTTTCTATTACTATGTCACCCGAAATAATAAAAACTTAAATAAATATTTTATACAATTAATTTTATTATAATGTGTTTAACCTTTTAAATATTAAAATTGAATACTTTACTAAAAATTTAAACTTTGTTTTATTGGTTTTCCTTTTTTCACTGAAATAAAAAAATAATTATATGTATATATATATATATATATATATAAATATATATGTGAAATTTCAAAATTTATTCATTATTTTTGTTAATTTTATGGAAAAAATTCTTTTTATTACATATTATTTCTTTGTTGTTCAACCAATAGATGAAATCAAATTTTAATGTTTTAAGTTATTTTTCCATTATATAAAATATAATGTTGATTAAAAAATCATAAATTACTTAACTAAGGTTTATGTTAAAATAAACTGGTCGTTTAAGACTGAAACGTTATTTTAAATAGGCATATAACTATATCACTTACAATAAGTAATGTATTATAATATAATCACCTGTGATATAAAAGGTATACGATGAATGTTAAGACATTTAATTTATAACTAATTTTAAGACACATATACTCCATATTCTGATTGTCTTTTTCATTTATCCTATGAAGTTATAAATATATTAAACACTTACTGAGAATGTATAAATTATAAGAACAAGAACAAGATAATACATTAAAATTATAATATAATATAATTTGTACATTAAGATATACAATTATATATTATTTTGTAAGTGCCGCTAAATTATGACAAGTTATTGTCTTATGATAAAAAACGAATAAGATCATAGAAACAAACTGTTCAATGAAGGCAAAGTAATCACATTAACTAATAATAATCGACAAAATAACCTAAAAGTTGGTAAAATGTAAAGACTGATTCAAAATATTTAAAAATTAAAATGAGAAATTTCTAGAGAGAAAACAGAGCTCTAACCATCTATCGGTTAAATTCTTATATTAACAAAACAAGTCTTAAGACGTGTTTTCCTTCACAAAAAAGTTATAACGATAAAAGAATTAAATCAATCCGATAAAAATTAGATGGATAATAATTTCAAATTCTCAAAAATTTAAGAGAAAAAGTTAAAGGATATTGGAAATGCAATAAAAAGTAATTATAAAATTTAACAAACAAATTAAGAAATAGTAATTGAATTATATAAAGACATGTTATCATTATTTAATACGTGACTACACTTTCACATAATAGGGAATAGAAAATGTTTAAGTTTCAATAATTTACAAAGTATAATATAGTGCAACAAAATGTTTATTAGAATTTTTTATTCAGAAAGTAGGTAATACTTATATCAATACCTAATGCATTATTTAAAAAAAAGAACTGTACATGTTTGTAGTTAATTGTAATTAAACAATTAAATAATGTGTCTTGGTATTCTGCAATTTATCAGTAAAATACGTATTTATATACATTAAATTATGAGATTTAGTTTAATAAAAATAAGAAATAACAATCTATTACGGCGATAGACAATCATCATTTTAAACACAGTTTTATGTTCATTATAAAAAATCAATTCTTAATTCGGTTATAAAGTATGCAAATTAAATTAATTTTTATTATAGGAATTGATAGCGATTCAATGATAATAGTATTTCAAATTGATATATATTAATTAATGTTTGTCATTTTTATCATTTTAGGTCATTTTTCAAATGAAATTATTTGACGTATGATATATACAAAGTAATTGTATATATAATTACAAAATAATAGATGGTATAAGAAATAAATTGAGAAGGTGTCTTCTTATTTAAGGAAAAATAACATTTCTCAAGTTCATAGAATTATATTTAATTCTTTTCATAGACTAGTGAACAATATCTATCCAAAAATATCTACATATATTTAAAAGCTACTTTTATTGTATTTAAAAGTGTTAATGACTATAACACATAATACATCCATATTATAATGTTAATTTATGAAAAAATAATATGGTAATATAATATAAACCATATAATATGGTCAATTTATGAAAAAATAGATTGGTAAATAGGTTGTAAAAAGATCCTTTTCATGAATAATTTTTAATAAAATTTAATGGATATAAAAACGTATTTAAACACATTTAAAAGCATTAACAGAAATATTAGTAAACAAAAATATTGCAATATAAATTCTAATTAATTTTTTTAAAGATATAAAGAATAAATTATATCAAATTTGAAGATAAAAGAATATAAGAATATGTAGGATTCTATAGATTAAGATAGTTCTAAATCTGTTTATAGTTTAAAATCTGTAACCAATTAAATGTCGGTAAATATTATCCAATAGAAAGTTTAGGCATTGGCGCGAAATTTAAATATGAAAATAAATTTAACATTCAAATTGCAAGCAAATCAATTTAAATCTGATGTACATTAAAAAAATTATGTAAAAGATATATTTTTGATTCAATGAAAATTAAATAAAACTATTATTTAACTAAGAAGATATATCGATAAATCCTACGTAATAATCTCATAGCATATTCATTGAGCATCGATATTGAATTTCAAATAATTAACTATATAATATTCATTTAGAAAATTTCTGCATTAACATAAGTAAAAAATAATAGAAAATATTACAATAAACAGATTAAATTCAGTAATAAGAAAGATTTAAAACATATAACGATGTTACGCAAAAAATAAATACAATCTAAAACAATATTAAATTTAACAAATTTTAAGAAAAATGTATTTTGAATTAATAAATATATATAAAGTATAAGGATACTCGTTGATATATTATATATTATTTATATAGTTTGAAAATAAATAAAAGTCAAGGAGCGATAGAAAAAAATTTGAAAGGTCGCGAAAATCCAAAAGCAATAATATAAATATGTACACGCAACCCATTCGAATGCATCAAGCACACATACACACACACACACACACACACAAACAAACAAACAAACAAACAAACAAACAAACAAACAAACTCACAATCTATTTAGCACACAGCTTAATTAGTCGATACAAGCGTTACCATTATTTTATTAAATTTTTCAGTCTAAACAATTTTAGTTAAACCTGAATATAGTTTCTACATTTAATGTTATTATTAATAATTACAATTTTGTCATGAATTCATATTTAATGTATTCTAAATATTTCATATATTAATTATTTTCTTTATATAATTGTACAATTTTTATTTGAATACAAAAAGGAATGTAAAAAAAGTGAATGATAAAATAAAATGAAAATATAAATAATGTATATATAATCAATATTTATCATGAAAAGAAAATTCAATAATTATTTTTTAATAATTATTATTTGTATAAATAAGAATTATAAATAAATAAATAAATAAAGTTATCAAAATACGAATAAAAAAATTTATTAAATAATTATTATTAAAATTTAATAACGTTAAAGGAATAATATAAATTATGAATTAGTAAAAATTTTGTCAATAAATGAATGAATAAATAGAATGAAAATTAATTAAGCGATAAATCAAATGTTAATAAATAAATAAAAAATTAAAATAAATGAATAAAAAAATCAACACAGAAATATTAAATACTAATTTTACTGCACATCCACTGAAATCTACATTAGTTTGCAATCGATACGAATAGGTGCTCTATCGAACAAAGAATTCTTTCATTTAATACATTTAAATTGAATACATATGAATATGGATTATCAATGCCCGAATATATGGAATAATAATCATAAATTGTTTTTTGTATTAATATTTATCCCTTTTTGATGTACTGGTAACTATTATCTAAAAAATATTTTAATGACTTTGAGAATATAATAAGCAACAAATATGACAAAAAACTATTATAAAGACAATTGTTGAACAATCATATGTTTAGATTTAATATTAATTTATATTTAAATACAATTAATTATGTTCAAAATCTTGGAATGTAAAGAACAATATATGAAATATTATTCTACTAATTTTTAAGTTAGATTAATGGTTATTATAACAATGTACGGATACTAGATTAAAATTTTTGAAATATTGAGATTTCATCTTTTTATTTGTGTTAAAATAATCTATCACCAGGCAATATGTTCGTTAGGGCAAGTGTGCGATCAAGTTCATACATTCATATGTATTGCTTCACCTTACAACAATTATTGTTATTTGTTATAAACACTTTTCCTTATTATATTTCTTAAATTTAATTTACTATATATGTATTTCGATCTTTTAGTTAATAATTCCTATACTTTGTATTAATTTAGTATCTCCTTTTTTCAGATTAGTTACATATATGTTCATTATGCAAATACTTATTTGTAATTATCATTATTAAGGTTACTACACAAATCTATTTTAGTTTTAGTTTTATTTGGGTTTACTAATCATTTTTACTTCGTTTTTATATATACAACTGTACTTTGAGTTAATGATATTGAGTTAATTATATTAGATCGTAATGTACGTGCTTGCTATTATTAACGAAGATGACCATCATTTTTTAATTGACGAAAAATGCATCATAATCACATTCGTACTTTTCATCAATAGAAATAACACTGTAAGATATTCTGTAAACAATTAATTTTCAATATTTTTTAAATATTACTTTTTTATTATGATTACAATCAATTGTACTTTAAAATTTATTGTTCTTATAAATGTATTCGTATAAAATTAAATAATAAACTATGTATCATTTAAAGATAATCTCAGTTAGTATATTAATTAATAAAATTATAATTTTAATTTGTAGTAA